TGAGATCTTCCCAGACTTGCAGCACTGCTGATGGGCACATTCAGAGCTGGTCAAAAGAGGCTACTATTTGTTCAGACTTGGTAAAAACTGAAAATACTTCTGGCAGAGATTCTGTTTCACTGGAAAATTTGTGGGCCTGAGTGACTGGCCATCTGCTTCTGCCCCAGGAACTGTCATCATTGCTTCAGAGAAGCATCTGGCTTCGAGCGGTAGGAACGAGCTGGTTTATCACATGCTAACTGCAAAGCAGAAGAATGAAAGACTCAACACACACAGAAAAGGCAGGAATGAGCGAGAGAGGGCACGAGAGAGAGAGAAGCATGATGTGAAAAAAATATATATGTTTATGTTAAAATGTTTATATATATATATATATTTTAAAATAACTGGGAAAATTTAATTATGGGCAGAATTTAGGTGATACTAAGGGATTCTTCATTTTGTTACGTGTGAAAATTTCATTGTGGTAATGTGTGAAGGTGTCTGGTTTCCAGAGATGCATATGGGAGCAAGTATTGAAGTAACATGACAACGCCTTTAACTACCTTTAAAAAGACACAGATAAAGCAAATGTTCAATTATTGATAACTGTTTTACGATGGCTATATGGGGGATTGCTGCACTGTTTAAATTCCAGGTCTATGTCTTTCTAACTGTAACCTTATTTACACTAACTCTTCTAGACAGAAAAATGGCTTCAATACAACTTTCTGCCCCTATTTAAAAAAAACAAAAAAGAATAAATAATTCACACAAACTGATCTGTGGATGACAGTTGCTTCATAATATCTATCTGGATGTTAAGAGCTTTGGTGAAAATCAGTGATTTTGATATTGGACTAGCCTTGATAATGAAACTGTGTACAAGCTCCTGTGTCCTTGATTTTTTGAAGTAAAAGTCTGGGTCAAGAGCTAAGGATTAGGAATATGAAGATGTAGAAACAAAGGTTAGCTGTTGGGCTTGGAAACTGGTAACAATTTAGACTATAAACCAGCCACACAGCAGAATCACTGAACTCCCAGTTCCCTGAAAGATACAGATAGATGTCCAACACACAGTCCTAGGTTGTTTTTTATAGGAAGCAGACCCACCAGATGAAAAGTGCTGACTGTAAGAACGCAGACCCTAGACCATTTGAAACCAGAAGGTTGATGATGCTTGAAACCTCACCTTGATGCCAGCCAACCTGAGAATCGTGCATGAGCTAATCATGCACTCTGCAGCCCCTCCCTCACGGGGCCTTTAAAACCCTTCCCTGAAAGCCATTAGGGAGTTCAGGTCTTTTGAGCATGAGCTGCCCATTCTCCTTGCTTTTGCCCTGCAATAAATGCTGTACTTTCCTTCACCACAACCCAGTGTCAGTAGTTTGGCTTTTCTGCACACGGGCAAGTGGACCCAAGTTTAGTTTGGTAACAATAACACTAAATAATCATTAAGTTCACTTGCTTTTTCCTAAGGCATATTCTTAAAGTATGGTAATAGTATCATGTCATTAACAAAGAGGTGAGTAATTCTTCCTCTTCTTTTGCTAAGGACTTAGGACATACAGTATTTCTAATTTATCTAAAAGCTGTATCATATAATGTCACTGCTTTTACAGTGAATATTCTGGCAAAACATTAAAATCTTGAAAACCATACACCTCCAATCACAGATAGGTCCTCTCTATGGGGTAAGGGCTGTGGTGGATTAATAGAAGTTACAGTGGCCTTTGATGGTTCGGAACTGTTTCCTCAATTGGATGAGACAGAATATAATACTCAAATTCATAAACAGGAGTTTCTTACTCATATTTCTACTTTTATTTTCTCAAAATTACATCACAGTTAATGTGTTTTGGTTGTATATAAATGTTATTTTGGATGCCATTAGCTACTATTAAATATAAAATTTACAGCCACACAAAAATATTTTTAGTGCCCAGCTTCCAAAATCAGACATACTTAGGTGCATAGCTCTCTCAATCATTTATTAGGAATGTTATTAACAAACTTGGGAAAAGTTATATGATGCCTTTGGATCTTTATCTATGAATGGTAATAAGAAGAGCATTGCCCTCATAAAGGTGGAGAGGAGATAATAAATTTATGCAGCACCTGGAAAATAGTACATCCTCAATCACTGAAAATGATAATTATTATTATTGCTGTTATACGGAACAGAAAGAAAAATTAAGTGAAAAACAATTCACATATTCATTAATCTTTAGGACCAACCTGACATTGGAAGTAAAATTCTGGATCTACTACTAGAACAGCCTCTTTTACTTCAACTTCCTAAACTGTAGCCGGAATTCTGTACAAGCCAAGTCTATGTCTAAAAAATAAGCTGCATTAACTCATGTGCAACTAAAACTGGAGTTTTAATGTTCTAATAGGACATTAAAGGTGAAATACTCCTATCTCTTCCCCTTCAACTCTATTATCCTGGAGAAACAAATTCCTTCTCTGAGCCTCTGGTTTTTCATAGATAATAAGTGTATTAAAATAACTTGCAGTCAGAGCAGAAATACATGAAATAGAGACCAAAAGTAAAAACCAATAGAAAAGATCGATGAAACTAAGACCTGCTTTTTTGAAAAGATAAACAAAATTAATAAACCTTTAGCCAGATTTAACAAGAAACAAAGAGGGCCCAGTAAATAAAATTAGAAATGAAAGAGAGGTTACAACTGATATCACAGAAATACAAACAATCATAGGGGAATACTATGAACAGTTATATGCCAATAAATTGAACAACCTAGCAGAAATGGGAATTCTTAAAAACATACAATATTTCAAGGCTGAATCAGGAAGAAAGAGAAAATCTGATCAGACCAGTTACTAGTAGTGAAATCAAATCAGTTATCAAAAAACTCCAAATAAAAAAAAAGATAGCTTCACAGGGGAATTCTACCAAATGTTGAAAGAAGAGTTAAAACCTATCCATCTCAAACTGTTCCAAAAAAGTGAAGAGGAAGGAACACTTCCTGACATATTCTTAGAGGCCAACATTATACTGAAACCAAAACCAGGAAAAGATACTACAAAAAAAGAAAACTACAGACCAATGTCCCTGATGAACATAGATGCAGAAATCTTCAACAAAATATTATCAAACCAAATTCAACCATACATCAAAAGGATCATACATCATGATAAAGTGGGACTTATTCCAGAGATGCAAGGATATTTCAATGTCCACAAATCATTCAATATGATGCACCACGTTAACAAAACAAAGAATAAACACATGATCATCGCAAGAGATGTGAAAGAGCATTTGACAAAATTAAAAATCCATTTGTGATTAAAAACCCTCAACAAATTTGGTACAGAGGAAACATATCTAAACATAATAAGGACCATTTATGACAAACCCACAGCTAACCTCATACTCAATGATAAAAAGATCAAAGCTTTTCCTCTAAGATCAGGAACAAGACGAGAATGCCCACTCTTGCCACTTCTATTTAACGAAGTATTGAAAATCCTAGCGCAGCAATCAGACAAGAAGAAGAAATGAAAGACATCCAGGTTGTAAAGGAAGGGGTAAAACTGTCACTATTTGCAGATGACATGGTACCATATATAGAAAACCCAAAAGACCCCACCACAAAACTATTAGAACTAATTGATGAATTCAGAAATTTGCAAGATACAAAATCAGTATACAGAAATCTGTTCCATTTCTATACAGCAATAATGAAATATCAGAAAGAGAAATTGAGAAAACAATCCCATTTACAATCCACCAAAAAGAATAAAATGCCCAGGAATGCTTTCTTTAACCAAGAAAGTGGAAGATCTGTACTCTGAAAACTGTAAGACACTGATAAAAGTAATTGAAGACAATACTAATAAATAGATACACAGTATTCATATATTAGAAGAATTAATATTGTTAAAATATATTTTCTACCCAAAGCAATCTACAGAATCAGTGCCGCCCCTGTCAAAGTACCCATGGCATTTTTCACAGAATTTTATAATCCTAAAATTTGTATGGAATCACAAAAGACCCCAAATAGCCAAAGCAATCTTGAGAAAAAAGGACAAGGCTGGAGGTACCACACTCCCATATCTGAAATGATATTACACAGTTATAGTAATCAAAACAGTATGGTGCTAGCACAAAAACAGACACATAGAGCAATGGAATAAAATAGAGAGCCTAGAAATAAGCCCACATGTACAGGATCAATTAATACGACAAAGGAGGCAAGAATACACAATGGGGAAAAGACAGCCTCTTTGATAAATGGTGCTGGGAAAACTGGACAGCTACATGTAAAAGAATGAAACTAGAACACTTTCCCATACCAGATACGAAAATAAACTGAAAATGGATTAAAGACTTAAAATGTAAGCCCTGAAACCATAGAATTCGGAGAAGAAAACTTAGGCACTATGCTCTTTGACATTGGTCTTAGCAATATTTTTTGGATCTGATTCCTCTAGCAAAAGCAACAAAAGCAAAAATAAACAAATGGGACACAAACTAAAAAGCTTTTGCACAGCAAAGGAAACCATCAACAAAACGAAAAGGGAACCTACCGAATGGAAGAAGATATTTGCAAATATGTCCAATAGGGGTTAATATCCACACCCCTGCCCTCCCCGGCCCCGGCCCCAACTCCGTCCCCATCTCTGTCCCCAACTCCGTCCCCATCTTTGTCCCCAACTCCGTCCCCATCTCCATCCCCATCCCCGTCCCCAACTCCGTCCCCATCAACTCCGTCCCCTACTCCGTCCCCAACTCCGTCCCGAACTCCGTCCCCATCAACTCCGTCCCCATCAACTCCATCTCCATCATCTCCGTCCCCATCTCCGTCCCCATCTCCATCCCCAACTCCGTCCCCATCTTCGTCCCCATCTCCGTCCCCAACTCCGTCCCCACCTCCGTCCCCATCTCCGTCCCACTCCGTCCCCAACGCCGTGCCCCTCTTGGTCCCCAACGCCGTGCCCCTCTCCGTCCCCAACGCCGTCCCCGCTCCGTTCCGCGGCCGCGCAGCGTCCCGACCGCACAGGCGCGGACCACACGGCGCAGGCTCGGCGGCCGGAGCAGGCGCGTCAGCCCATCTCGGGGACGCGGGGACGGGGACGCGGGGACGGGACGCAGCCGCTCCCCCCGCACCGGCGCGTCCGGCCCGAGCGCGCGTCCTCCGGGGCTGCGGGCGGGGCGCCAGGGTAGGTCGGCTCCGGGGGGAGGGGTGGCGCGGGGGTCCGGGATGAGCACCCCTTTGGCGAGGCCTGGCCGGGGCGCGGGGCGCCGCGGCGGCGGGAGGCGGAGGCGCAGCGCCTCCCGCGAGTCTGCGGTGGAGGTGAGCTTGGCCGCAGGGGTGCAGTCGGCGGCGTTTGGTCTGCGGGGCCCGTCAGCCCCTGCCACTGCCCCCTTCGGGAGGTGTGGGTGGGCGCAGAAGGACGGGGTGGCATCTCTCTCTCCGCCCTTCAGACCTCCAGGACGGCCTCGGGCTTCCTGGCGCCGGGAGGGAAGGCGGGCGCAGTCCCTGCGGCCGTGGGCACAGGTGTCGGGGCCGGATGCCGCCGCTGGCTGGGGTGCGGGGCAGGCAGTCCAGTGCTGCGAGGTGACCGCGGGCAGCTGTGGGCCTGGTGAGCCCCTCCGTCGTCTTCGGGAGAGAGGACCAGGGAGGCGTCCCCTCCTGCTTGCTTAGGGCTGCGAAGGAGAAACGTGAGAAGATCAGACTTCCTGGGAGGAAGAGAGATGAAAAACGTGACACAGGAGAAGCCAAATTATGAGGGGGAGCTGAGACTTCCGTGAACGCTGAGGAGTAGACCGGTCTCTTCCTGTGCAGGAAACAGTGAAGGAGACACTGTTTATGGTTTGGGAATTAAAGATGCGGAAGAGGTCTAAATAGTACAGGGTTTAGGAGATGCTTAAAGGTTTTTTTTTTTTTTTTTTTTTTTTTTAATGCATCAGATAGGCAAGAATGTAGTTCTCCTGGAGCATGGAAAATGTTATTAAAATACAACTAAGAAGAGTATTTGGAGAAGGCTGACTATATTTGCTATTTTATTTCATACAATGTTGCCTAGAATTTCTGGAGTCAGAAATCATCATTTGAACGATAAATGTCAGTATCATGTGAGTGGGAAAGCCAAAAGCTAACTTAAATCAATGAGCACCTTTTTTGGGTAAAAGGTAACTGCGAATTTAATGTACATAAATAAAAACAATGAATTTAGACAGTGAAACTCTTTGATAATAGTTTTTTCTTTTTTCTCTATCAGTCCTTTAATACTTAGAATTATCTTTTCTTCGAGAATAGTTTTATTGGTTTTGAAAAAATATACATGCGAAAGTCAAAGAACAGAGGAAATTTAAAAAACAAAACATTGATTTAAATGACCTAGTCCATCGTAACCATCTTAAAACCGTGTAAACATCTTTCCATGTATCTTGTAGGTTTGAGCAATGAGAATTTTTTTTAAAGCCAAGTAGCATTTATGCAAGTAAAACAAATCACAGACACTGTACATAATTATACATGAAAACACACATGATATGATTTTAAAAGTCTAAAAGTGGACTTCAAAGATGGAACTTACAGAGTTTTTTCTTCAGAAGAGAAAGAATAGAAAATTATACTAAATATATTCAATAAGCTTAAAATATGATAAAATTTTTTTTTAAAAAAATATTTATTTATTTTTATTTTTGGCTGTGTTGGGTGTTCGTTTCTGTGCGAGGACTTTCTCTAGTTGCAGCGAGCGGGGGGCCACTCTTCATCGTGGTGCGCGGGCCTCTCACTATCGTGACCTCTCGTTGCGGAGCACAGGCTCCAGACGCGCAGGCTCAGTAGTTGTAGCTCACGGGCCTAGTTGCTCCGTGGCATGAGGGATCTTCCCAGACCAGGGCTCGAACCCGTGTCCCCTGCATTGGCAGGCAGATTCTCAACCACTGCGCCACCCGGGAAGCCCCAAAATATGATAAAATCTTAATGTTTACACCTGTATGCAAGACAGATGTTTGCCACAAGCAATGAGAACTTGATGTACAAGACACCCTTGTCCGTTGGGTAGTAATGGTCGTACTCCTTAAAGAGTCGTGTAGTTACCGTTTGCCTCATAAATGTAAACATTTTCTTGTTCTTTCTTGTAGATCGATCTCCTGAAATTTAACTTTTCAAGATGAAGTTTGTATTGGCGGTGGCCTTTTTTATTTTAATTTCCTTGTGTGTTGAAGAAGCCTGTTCTAAAGAGAAGTCTTCAAAGAAAGGGAAGGGGAAAAAGAAGCAGTACCTATGCCCATCGTATGTTCTTCATGTCTTATATTCTTATATGGAGAAATATTATTGCATTTTTCATCAAAGTGGTTTATTGAAACACATGGCAACAGAACTTTCCCTATTAGAATTGCACCCATTTGTTTCATAGGTAGAAAGTGACAAAGTGAAGAGGGCTTTACAATGGGAAAGCTAATTCTCAGTATGATAAAGGTAAAGTTTTATAAAGTTTTGTTCGTGCCCTGGGCTTCTGTAATTTTCATACATCTTTTATAAAAGTAGAAAAAAGTTTCTATTTCTTTCTTACCCTGAATGTGCAACTTTCGCTGGTTACTGAGATTCCCTGCTTTGAGCAAATGCTAGTTCAAAAAGTTGACTTTGAAAAAAAATACTACTGAAATTGAATATTCATTTAAAAAATCAGATTGCTAGACTATGATTTTAAGGTCTATTTAATTCACATTAAGGCATGGCAGGAGAAGAATTACATGGTAGGTCCATTTTCCATTTCAATGGGGTTTTTTTGGGTAAAAGATTTATCTTAGGAAATAAGTATATTTCTCAAAAAATGTCATTAAATTTGAAGTTACCTGTAAAAACTAAATCTAAATCCAATTCCCACTCCCTCCCCACTCAGAAAAAAAACAGCAAAAAAATTTTATGGTTTGGACTCCATTTTAAAAAAAAATAAAGTGTTACTATTACTGGTGAATAACAGTAAATAATACCCAATAGTTAGAACAATTGAACAGTATATAAATCAATAACCTTCACAGAATATGTGCTTTTAAGTAATAATGTTAAAACGTATGCAGTAATGTGGAGGAAGAATTAAGTTGCTGGTACTGGTTATTTTTACATTAAGATTTCCGAAGTGCTATATTGATCTCAGGTAACATTATTCCAGCATCATCACTACTTAAATATTGATTATTATAGTTTCATAGATGTTTCATAAGAATTATTAAGATACCTTCTGGGAAGTAAATTTTGTAAAGAAAGGATATTAGAGTTGGTATTTTGGAATGGACGTCTGTATGAATATGTGAGACGGAAGGTCTGGGGACGGTATGATGACCCATATAAAGTCCCATAGTACGTAAAGCTCTCTGTTAAGAAATACGTCCTAGTTTTCAGCGTTAATAGTCCTGCTTCTTCCAGTCTACACAGCCTGACGTCAGGGCCAGGCTTCTGGGTCTGACAGGATGGCCCCATCCGCCCTACTGAGTGTGACTCATCTTCACAGATAAGAGTGTTTGAGCTGCAACCAGGGGACTCGCGTTTTCGGGAACTGGACACGGTCAGGCCTTACTCTTCCCAAGGATAAGGACACCTTGTCATATTTTGAATAGCCTTCATTTTAACGTTTTGTTGGATAAATCTTGGCGTATTGATGTGAACTCTTGTATTTGTCTTGAAGGCGCGCTGATCCTGTGTGTGGACTCAAGCCATCTGTGGTCAGTCGGGTTCCGCTCTCTGTGGAAGCTGATGGGGCTCCTGTCTCCCTCGCCCCAGCCTGCTTCCCCCCCCCCCGCCCCCCCATCCTGTTAAATGTCATGAATCACAGCTCTGAATGTGGCAACTGCAAGCCTTACGGCTGCCGTGTACCTTACAATAGTCTTTTAGAGGGCATCCTATTTCTTCCCAGAACTGCGCTCTTGCCTTATATGTAAACTGACTGTATATGCTTAGGCTGTCTCTGGTTAGGACAGATTTTTAACATTAAATCTGATAGATAAAGAGTGAAACAATGAAGGTTCTCTTTGGTGCATATGGAAACCTCCAAGTGGAAGGCCCAGCATACACGTGGTGCGCCCGTATTGCAGTGTTTTAGGTATGTTGAGAAATTAAATTTTCTAGAAATTTTCTACCACAGTTTTCAAATTTTGATTATATTACTTACTTTCTTGCAATTATGAGACTGAATAAAGCTTTATTAACAGGAGCCCTGGTGATGCTGCCCCAAAGCCAGCTTATTAAAAAGTAGATGTACTTTGGAGAATTACATTTGCATATTTTTTGTTTGAGCATTTTACTAAGAATTTTGAGTTCATGGTCACTGAACTTCTGAAGGCTAAGGTTTTCTCTGGCTTTTGTTGGATCCATTGTATTAAATTTCTTTGAATATCCAGGTTGGGAATCTCAGTTACAATAACGGGCTGCAGACTATTTGTTTCTCAGCGGATGGTCCAGTTTGCCCATCCTGTGTAAGCTGACTAAGCATAAAACATCTTGATTAAGAGGAATATTTGAGATCACAAAACCCGGAAGTTACGTACAGGCTTCCATACACTCCTCAATATGGTGAAATCTTGCCCAGTGATGTTCTGATTTCTTTACATTTTTTTTTGAATAGAGTTGAAGAGCAATGGTGTTGAACGGATATATGCAGTTGATGTGTTGTGCGCGTGTAGTAAACAGGAGCAGAAACTTCCCTTTTTATTCTTGAAACGTTTCTTCCCAAAGATTGGAAATAAGAGGAAAACTGTTTCTAAATGTAGAAAGGACCCTTCGTACTCTAGGTTGATGTGGAGCTGGAATCGTATGATACTCTCTCCCTGGCTTTTTATTATTTTTTTAACCTTTAATTGTTTTGAGAAGCTCGAAAATGATAAATTTATGCTGTTATTCATTGTTTTTTGGTGTGTAACTGGAGCAGCGGTACCAGGTTGCCAAACTACCTGATAAATTTGAGTCCCAAAATTTTAGAAATTCAGTATATATTAATAAATACACAGTAAACTTTAAATTAGAAGCTATGTTTTAGATTAAGTCCTTGGACACTGTTTAGCTTTTTATTTTAAAGCTTGAATTTGACACTGACCTGAATCTATTGGTCTTCTGATTTCCTATACGTTCTGCCTCAGCGATTTTGTCCAAATCTCTGGCTGTACCTCCATCTGTGCACCGTTAACGCCTAAGGTGCTGTATGCAGCCCAGCCTCTCTGAAGAATGTACCCATACATCCACCACTTCTACCTGGTTATCCCATCTTGATCTTAAAACTCAATTCAAAATGATAAAAACCCGAGTACAGAAATCCTCCCCACGTCTCCTAATACAGTGTTTCCATTTGCATCCTTTGCCATCCAAACTCAGATCCTAGGGGTTACCTAGGACCCCCTCTTTCTACCTTAGCTTCTCAAGTCCAGTCGTTGCCGAGACTTCCACGTTCAGAGTCTGCGCCATCTTGTGAGTGTGTCCCTCACTTCCATCCCCATCGTGACGCCGCTGTCACTTCTCCCCCCAGCCCTTCTAGTGAGCTCGTTATTGGTCTCCCTCTTCTTGGCTTCCTCCACCAGTTCCTACCCCACCCTGACCCTAGAGTGTATTTTCCACAGCGTACTCAAGCCACTCCAGCGCTCAGAGTCCCCTGAGGGACTCCATAAGCTTTGGGAAAGGTTCTGATTTCTTTCAGCACACAAAACTCTTGCTGAACTGGCCTCTGACTCCTCCGTCTGTCTCTTTGCATCCCGATCTCGCCCTTACTCAAGTCTCATACACGCTTGCTCTTTCATACTTCCGAAGTGTTCTTCCCTTTACCAAAATGCCAGAGGTTTCCTTCTTCCATGAGTTAACCCTTGCCTCAGTGGTCTTATGAAAATCCACAGCGGTAAATACCACGTGTTCGCTGTCGACTCCCGTATCTGTGTGCCCGGCCCAGATCTCTCTGAAGAGCACCACATCCATACATCCAACACTTGAATCTGACTGTCCCGTAATGACCCCACACTCAAACTTTGTTGTCTCCTTTGGGAAACCTTTTTTTTTTTTTTTCCATATTATAAAGTGTTTACTATTTCCACCACCTATTAACAAAAAATTAAAATTAATGCTGGCCGCTGAATCAGAAATCTCTCTATATGTGCGCATGTATATGCCTATATATATACACACGCATATTCATATGCTTTTACTTTCTTTAAATATGCAGAAAAATTCTGACCATTAATGGAATCATTTCTGAATTATTGCACGTGACTCTTGCTTACTTATTCACAGACGCCTAACACCATAATGCACTGAATATATGCGCAAACAGACACTAGCAAAAGACTCCAGGCCATCCTTGCTTCCTAAATAACATAATTTCAGCTACATATAATATTATTTTATTACATGCTAAGTACAAGGATAGATTTATTTTTGTTTTTTAAACATTATGAAATGGTTAAATTATAGATTCTATAACATTTTAATCCTGACTGATTTTCATAACCCATCTTGCAAGGTGGATATCTATTTTTTTTTAACATCTTTATTGGAGTATAAACCTTTCTTAATCCTGACAGTCTGATTTAGACAATCACACTCTGTGCCTTCGAGGTTCCCTAATTGCCTATCCTGCTTATAAAACTACGTGGTGACATCAGCTGTAATTGTCTGCTCCCCCTACTAGATGGTAAACTCCGCGAGGGCTTGTCTTACTGACTTAGTCACCAGACATCAACATCGTGCCTGGTTCAAAATGTACATGCCATAAACATTTGGTTAAAGAGTGAATACAAACTCGAGATCGTTGACCCTTACAAGTCACTGTATCTGGATTTTGTTACAGTACTTGAAAATAATTTATATGATCTCCCTGGACAGTATTTAGACATATAGTCTTAATATAAGGAGAAGAAGGGAGTTAATGTCTAGGTTATTGGTAGAGCGTCTTCAGCCTGGAAGATGCTTCCTGGTGAAAGTTTGGCCTTCTCGTGATAAACATCATATCAATGACTAAAATAAACTATACAGAGGAAACATCCAGATGGAGAGTAATGTGATACTGAAACACATGGTGGGTACGTGAGACAGAATTAGGATCTAATATGACCTTGGAAGTCCAAAGCGATGGGCTGAATCTAACGAGATTGAAGTATAAACTGCACTTTGGTTCAGAAATCATGTGTGCAAGTATAGGACGGGGAAAGCAATGTGGCTGAACACACTTGGAAAAAATATTAAATAGTGTTGTAACCATAATACAAATGAATAATAATATACTGTAGTATAGTATAATATGACATAATATAATATGA